TGTACTCTTCAAAGATTTCTTCTGTTGCGATCTTTTTAATGTCATGTCTTTCCATTATTTTGTTACATCCTTTCGTGGGACAGGGAATTTTGAGGAGTTGTTTTTCGTTGAGAAGGATCTTAATGTGTTTATTAACACATTCCACACAAATAACGACTTTATGTGTGCATTGTGAAGTTGTTGCATGATACCTTCTATCTTCTGTTTCGCAACAAATCGCACATTCGTCCAATTCCGACATACTTGATCAAAATTTTGTTTGATACCAAAGAAATTGTTCGAGCGAGAAATATTGAATAACACAATATTTTAAACGAAAAGTGGTAATTTAAGGTTTGGAAAATGACCGAAATTATGAAATCCGCCAACCTTTTGATATTAACATTAAAAATTTCACACGATCTCTGGACTTGCGTCATTTTGGTTAGAAACTTGTTTTGTTTATTTATGATCACGAAATGGAATTTCCAGATTTTCAAGGTTTAAAACCAAATATATTAATGATTAATATATATGGGAAAGGAAAATTCTATTTTTTCCACTTCTCCCAAAGCACGTAAAACAATATTCCTTCAATAAAATCTTTATTATTTAAAACAAATGTCAAAATTCACGATTATTCTTTATCTTGATCAGACAGTTAAAGTGCCATTTGATATTTCTTCCGATGATACCATTTATCAAGTGAAACAAAAAATAGAAAAATCATACGATATTAAAATCGAGAACCAAGAATTATATCTTGGTGATAAACAGCTTGAAGATGACCATACAGTAAAAAACTGTAACATTGGTTTAGAAGAAAAGGTCAGACTTGTTCGAAAGGCTGAAGGTAGTATACAAGTTTTCATTATGGATATTAATCCGACTGATAACCAAAAATCAACTGCTATCATCCTCAAACCATCCAGTACCGTACTTGAATTGAAAAATTTGTATACTGAAAGAAAGTCGCTTCCTGTAGAATACCAGAGATTTATATATCAAGGCAAGCAGTTAGAAGACAATAGAACACTGACATCTTATGGTATTGTACACGAGTCAAATATTCATCTCGTTGCAAGATTGAAAGGAGGTCTTTGAGAAAAGGAGTTATGTTTTTTCTTTATTTTTTTTTTTTGTCAATTGTATATATTTTATTTTATGAAAATTTGTATTATATATTGTGTAACGAATAAAATATTCAATTATCAAATAGCTAAATAAAACATAGGAATGCAATATATCAAAATTATTGCTTTTACGAGTGATTTTACTGAACTCCCTCCTATTCAATTGATTGTGACGAATTGTAATTTTTGCTTTAATTACAAGAGATTTTTTATATTTGTGATCTAGATAGTAAAAAATCAAATACGGATTTGTCTTTTATAAAGCTACACTGCTGAGAGCCATACCTTTTATTAATAATATCTTTCAAGACATATTACATATCGATGCGACATTAACTAAAAATGCCAATGGCCCTTTGCATCCATCTTTGTGGATTTGAAAGAATGTATCGGCGAATTGAAATTCAGGTGGGCGCATAACATAAATTAGTTAATTGGTTATCAATAACTTCCTAAAATAAATAATAAATTCAGCAATGAAACTAAATTACTAATCTTTAAGAAGCATTCAATTCACCAAATTTTTACTGTATGATCTAATTAATCTTGCAGCCCAAATACCTTTCATTTAAAGATTGGGTAACAATATTGCTAGTATCTATTTCCTTATATTTTAAAACCATCAAGTCTTAAATATTGAGTCTATGTTTTGTTATTTTTTAACTGATTTTCTAACGTAGATAAAGAAAAATTGCTGTTACTATCTTCATCAGAACTTTCATCATCAAGGTCAAATTATCCATCTTACCAGAACTTTCTAAAGTAGAAGATACATACATTACTAGAATTATTTAATGAAGAAGAGGCATCATTTGAAACTTGGGATGTAAAAATGATTATTAATTTTTTGTGATCTGATGGCAGCAATTTTATTTGCATGTCTTTTATTATGTAAAGTGGATTTTACATTTCCAGTATAAACTAATGATCTATTATTGGACATAGAGAATGTATTCATAATTTCAAATGAATTGGAAGGTTCTTTTCTTAATTCGCATTACTTAAATCATGTTCACTTGCTTCGCTTTCATCATAATAATTATTTTCACTATTTTGACTTTAATCATCAATCTCCATTATATCACCGTCAATTTCAACTTCATTATCATGTAATAAATAATTAAAATATACAAGACAAAAAGATAATAATTACAATTTAAATTTCAAATTTTATCAAATAGGACTGTGTCTCTGGAAATTTTCGAAAGAAAAGGGAAAAAACTGTATTAGTATAAAAAATAAACTTTTGATCATTATCAGTTATTATCTTTATCCTGATCACGATCGTGATCATTAAACGCTCCCCAAATTTTTTAAAACGTTCAAGGTTGTATTTATAATATTATCATTTAATTAAATTCCATCACTAGACGATTCGGAATTAATTCATTATTGTCAAAGAATTAACCAAGCTTTTTTTGTAATGTAAAGAAGATGCATAATTTCCTTATTGTTAATATTTAAACCATGCCTTTTTTTGAAATACTTTCCCGCCACTAAAAAAAGTAACGATTCGAAATTACTATTAATATTAAGCAACCATGTTTTTTTTTGAAAACGGGAAAATACTTTCCACGACATTGATACTAAAAAACGTAACAATTAGGAATTAAAATCAACCATGCCTCTTTCGAAAATACTTTACCATGCTAAAAACTCATTCGAAAATGTAAAAAAAAGAAATGTGGTTTATATAAAAAATCGTAATAATAAAATGGGAACGATCGGCGAGATCCTATTTTGAAATTTGTGTATGGTAAGGGGAGGGGGCATCGAGAAAACAATTTCCTCTTCAGAATGCATTTGTTCTGACTGTTCATAAACTCAAGGATTGACCCTGGCACACGTAACATTGAACGTTGACGAAAGTATGTTTTCTGAAGGGCAAGTAAAGTAAGTGTATATTGCAATGAGTCGAGCTCCCTCATTAAGAAAATTGCAGATCCTTGATTTTGATTATTCTCAATTAAAGATTTCTAGGGTTGTTTTAGAAGAGTATAAAAGATTAGAGGCTACGGGTTACAAAACTAACAACGTTGTAAAAGAAAATATACTTTGTATTGATTGAAAAATTGAATGTAATTATGATATATTCGGAAACAAATATTAATACTTGTTGTGATAATTACGAACTCGCAGCAAAATCTTACTAATCGATAATTTCCCAAAATGGTATTGGTTTAATATTAATTGAAGTTACATTCTTTCGTTAATAAATTTGACTCCAAAATTAATTTGACAGACTATCCAACAACCATCTACTTCAACTTCAAAAAAATATTATGTTTTCTCATTCGCAATTCTTATAATTAGCAATTTTTCCCAATACTAATTACAATGATATCTATAATAATAAACTTAATATTTACCTTTTTGGAAGACTCGACCATCTCAATTATTGGGAAATTTATGGTATAATTAAAATAGTGCTTAGATTGTGCAAAGAATCAAAGCCTCTTCTTTTGCTGCCATTTAGTGCCTTCCAATATCCGGTATCATCTTATTAATTTCCCTGGTTGTATACTTGGGTACTTGAGCTTCGACGTACTTTGGATAAAAAAATCATGGTAATGGTCTATCATTTTTTTAAAATATGCATATAAATTATTATAAAGAAGGTTTAAAGGTTTATAAAAAAATCCAAAAATTACAAGGAGCATTTTTTCTTTCTCTAAACTAATTAACAATATATACACACGCATATATATCAGATGCCCTCTTCGAGTTTCCTACAATTAAAGAACTACAAAAAACCTTTTCCGCATGTGCAAGATACATCCAATATGAAAAATTAACCATTGGTGATGGTAGTGAAGTCATTACGCCGAATCATACTTGGATTAGTAGAAACGGCCAATTGGCATATAACCAGATAATGAACCAATTTCCTATTAATGTTCCTTATAGTTAACGTAGAGATGTTAGCAAACTTTATCGTGCACAAATCAAATTGCAAGCCAAAACATTTCAATTTTTCGTAATGCGAGCAATCCTAACTCGATACCGGTTGGAGATGCATGGATCATAAACGAATTGGCATGAATAGACCTGATTTCGCACACGACATTTTTTTTTCGGGTTTAATTTTTCAAATATATTGAATATTTTTGTAAAAAAAATTTGTGATATTTTATTTTTTCAAATATTTTAAATAAAAATACATAATTTTCACCAAAAAAAAAATTATTATTGTATATAATATTAAAACTAAATGACAAACAGGTAATAATGAATATAATTATGTCAAGGATTAGGAACATTAGTAATGTTTCGAGCTTAAGGACCCCTTAACTATGATATTAGTATTAGTTTAGTCATAAATAACATTATATAATAATAATATCGATAGAAACATATATTTTATTTATTTATAATCATCTATTGAAGGTGGATGACAAGAAGATGAAAATTATAACACAGCCACCTTTAGCAAACAAAAATTGCCAAATAAACAGGCTATATTTTCCTGCTCTTTTTCATGTTCCTTAATTAAAAGTAAATTATTAATTATATTCTAAAATTACAGAAAGTTCCCACATTTTTATTTAGAGTAAAAAGAAAATTTTATATATAACTTCCACGAAGAATAGGTACAACAAATAGTATATGTAGAACAGATAGATATGTATTTTGTTTATTTGTTGCATTTTTTGAAAGGGAATTTTGAGTTTCATTTTCATTTTGCCATTTTTATTTTTTGAATTGCGTTTTTGTACAACTATCAATTAATCTTTGTCCGCAGCAAGTTTGACATTTATCAAATCATCATTACAAATTTATCCGTTATTCTATATTTTATCATCTCTTTCTCTATATATACAAATAAAATTTTATTTTTGTCAAGTTTATAATTTCAAAAATACGAATAAACAATAAAAAAGTGAAGATATGGAGATTGAAAAACCGGAATCAACTATTGACGAGATTGACGAGGGACTTTACTCTCGACAACTGTATTTAATTTTTCTCGTTTTTTTTGATTTTAAAAAAATTTGATTAATATAAATTTTTTAATGTCTGACTTAAATTTTTTGATCTATCATTTATTGTAGTTATGTGCTTGGTCATGATGCCATGAAAAAAATGGGTACCTCAAACATTCTTATTGTAGGCTTAAAAGGTCTTGGTGTTGAAATTGGTAATTAATAATAATAATAATAATGATGATGATGATGATTATAAATAATAATAATGATAACAATGAATATGATGAAAATAATTTATAAACTAAAAAAATTTAATATTTTTTAATTAACATTGCTATGGAAATAAATAGCCAAGAATGTTGTTCTTGCTGGTGTCAAAAGTGTAACTCTTTACGATCCTGAACCAGTAAAACTTTCAGATTTATCAACACAGGTTAGAACAAATGGATTTAATGAATGGCATTAATTTGATATGTGGGTTTATTATTTAATTGATTAAATGATCATCGTTATTCTTTTCTTTAGTTTTTCCTAAGAGAGGAAGACATTGGAAAACCAAGAGCTATTGTGTCCGCCTCAAGGTTAGCTGAACTTAATCATTATGTGCCTGTATCTGTTCTTGATGGTGAATTGACAAATGATAAGATAAAAAATTTTCAAGTATGTTTTTTTAATATTTTTTTTCTTTTTTGATATTTGGTTTGGAAATTTAGTAATTGTTATTAATTTTTTTTATTATGTAGGTCGTTGTATTAACAGAAACTCCTTTGAAAAAACAATTGGAGATTAATGATTTTACTCATGCAAATGGAATATGTTTCATATCAACTGATATCCGTGGTCTTTTTGGGTAAATAATATCATTAATGACAGATTTGATTAAATAATTTATTAATAAATAAATATATTTATATTCAATAGTGTTGTATTTAATGATTTTGGTAATGAATTTGTTATCAATGACTCTACCGGTGAAGATCCACTTGGCGGAATGATTGCTGCAGTCTCCAAAGAATCAGATAGTGTTGTAGCATGCCTTGATGAATCACGTCATGGTTTAGAGGATGGTGATTATGTAACTTTTACAGAAATAAAAGGGATGGAAGAATTAAATAATTGTGAACCAAGAAAAATAAAAGTTCTTGGTAATTATAGATCAATTTTTTTTTTCAAAAAAATAAAAATAAAAATATATGTATACATTTATATATTTATATATTAAAATTATTATTTCATTTGAAAAAAGGTCCGTATACATTTAGTATTGGGGACACTTCAAGTTTTGGAAACTATATAAGTGGAGGTCTTTTTACTCAAGTTAAAATGCCTAAAACAATCCACTTTGTAAGATCATTAAATTATTATCATAATCATCTTAATTTTTTAAAGGTGTGAGAAATAATTAACATATATACATACATATATATATATATATATAGAAATCTTTACGTGAATCTTTGAAAACTCCCGAGTTCCTTATTTCTGATTTTGGAAAATGGGATCGGCCAGAACAATTACATATAGGTTTCCAGGCATTAAATGAATTTGCAGAAAAAAACAAGGGTCTTCCGCGTCCACATAACGAAGCTGATGCAGAAGAAATTATATGCTTATCTAAAGAAATTAATGAGCAATCTGAAGAAAAGGTAAATAATTTTCTTTCAATTATATAGACAAGTATATATTATGATTTATTTATATTTATTTATATCTATCTATTACAGATTGAGATTAATGAAAAACTTTTAAAACAATTGTCATACGGAGCTCGTGGTGACTTATCTCCAATGGTTGCATTTTTTGGTGGTTTAGTAGCTCAGGAAGTATTGAAAGCATGTAGTGGTAAATTTTGTCCGATTTTTCAATATATGTATTATGATTCTTTGGAATCTTTACCAAACGGTGTTGTCCTCAATGAAGAGAGTTGTGCTCCAGTAAGTTAATTCTTAATATCAATAGTAAAAATTTTTTTTATTATTATTTAACAAAAAAAATTTTTACCATATTATCAAAAAAGCGTGATTCTCGTTATGATGGTCAAATTGCAGTTTTTGGAAATGAATTTCAAGAAAAAATTGCCAATTTTAGAGAATTTTTGGTAAAGTATTAAAATTTTTAAATCAATATATAGATAAATAATTTATTGTCAGACTGATTTTATTTGGATTTAGGTCGGATCGGGTGCTATTGGGTGTGAAATGTTAAAAAATTGGGCCATGATGGGTTTAGGTACCGGACATAGAGGTGTAATTCATATCACTGATATGGATACAATTGAAAAAAGTAATTTAAATAGGCAATTTTTATTTAGACCTGGAGATGTAGGGGTATGTATTGTTATTTTTCTTTTAAAAAAATTTATCAAGTTTGATAAGAGATCAAGTGTTAATAAAATAATACATAAATGTGCACGCGTTAATTAATACAAAAACATTAATAATATTAAATTTTTTAGAAATTAAAATCTGAAACAGCAGCAGCGGCTATTTCTAAGATGAATCCTCATACAAGAAACAAAGTTATAGTTTATCAAGACCGTGTTGGTGCCGAGACAGAAAATGTTTTCAATGATGATTTCTTTGAAAATTTAGATGGTGTTACAAATGCTCTGGACAATGTTGATGCACGTGCGTATATTTATTCTTTTTTTTATTTAATTTACAAGATTATATATACAATTATAAATATAAACATATTCTCTCATCTAAATAAATCTATAATCTTTATAGGAAGATATGTGGATAGAAGGTGTGTGTATTACAGAAAACCTTTATTAGAATCTGGAACTTTGGGTACAAAAGGCAACACGCAAGTTGTGATTCCTTACTTAACAGAATCCTATTCATCATCACAAGATCCTCCTGAAAAATCTATTCCAAGCTGTACACTAAAAAATTTCCCTAATGCTATTGAACACACCATTCAATGGGCCCGTGATCTTTTCGAGGGATTATTTAAATCTCCGGCAGAAAATGTCAATTTATATTTAAGCCAACAAAATTATATTGATTCTGTCTTAAAACAAGGCGGAAATTCCAAAGAAGTTATAGAGATAATTAAAAATTTTTTAGTTACATCTAAGCCATTAAGTTTTGATAATTGTATTGTATGGGGCAGATTGAAGTTCGAAGAATATTTTAATAATAATATTCAACAATTGCTTTTTAATTTTCCAAAAGATTCTGTAAGAAATAATTATTATTTTATTTTGTTGGAGTTAAATTGTTTTAAATAATTTATTATCAATTGAATCTTTTATTTATTTTTTAGCTTACATCATCGGGCACAAACTTTTGGTCAGGTCCAAAACGAGCACCCGATCCATTAATATTTGATCCTGATAATGTAATATTATTTTTTTTTTTAAAAATTATATTTGAAAAAATCAAAGAATATTATTTATTTATAGATTTTTGTTTGTTAATTATTTAGGAAATGCACATGGACTTTATCATAGCAGCAGCAAATTTACACGCATTTAATTATGGTTTAAAAGGTAAAATATATAGGATTTCTATAACTAAACATAGCTAATGAATATTTTAACAGTGATTTTTTTTCCTTCCTTTAATAGGGGAAATTGATCGTGAATATATAAAAAGTGTTTTAAATAATGTAATTGTACCTGAATTTACACCAAGAGCTGGTGTAAAGATTCAAGTTCAAGAAAATGAGACAATTCAACAAGCGAGTATTGATGAACAAGAATTAGAAGAACTGATTTCAAGTTTACCACAGCCATCGTCACTAGCGGGATATCGATTGAATCCAGTGGAATTCGAGAAAGATGACGACTCAAATTTTCATATTGACTTTATTACAGCAACTTCGAATTTGCGAGCAACAAATTATAGTATTCAACCTGCTGATCGTCATAAAACAAAATTCATAGCTGGTAAAATCATTCCGGCAATTGCAACAACAACTTCTTTGATAACAGGTTTGGTTTGTTTAGAACTGTACAAGATAATTGCAGGAAAAAATAAACTTGAAGATTATAAAAATGGTTTTGTTAATTTGGCATTGCCATTCATCGGATTTTCCGAACCTATTGCTATGCCGAAATTCAAGGTACATAAAAAAAATATTTATTTATATAAAATATTTAATTATTAAAAAAAAATTATTTAATTTTTTTTAACAAAGTATCATGATGTTGAATGGAGCATATGGGATCGGTTTGAAGTTGATGGAGATCTTACTCTTCAAGAATTTTTGGATCATTTCAAAAATCAACATGAGCTTGATGTTACCATGTTATCTTGCGGTGTTAGCATGTTATATTCTTTCTTTTTAATGGGAAAAAAAAGAGAAGAACGTCTAAGAATGAGGTAAATTAACATATATATATTTGCAGTTTAAATTAATTTTTTATAAAAATTAAAAAATTTTTATGCTCAAAAATAAATATTATAGAATATCAAGATTGATTGAAACAATTTCCAAGAAACCAGTTCCACCACATGTCAGAGCACTTGTTCTAGAAATGTGTGTCAATGATCGTAATGAAGAAGATGTTGAGGTAATATATATATATTATTTTATTTTTGTTAATATACATATATTGATATTAATATTGATTTTATCATTGTATAGGTTCCATATGTCAGATTAGTAATCAGACCATAATTGAAATAATAATAATAATAATAGAATTTTTTTTTCTCGATTAAAGATAGATTATTATATATATATATAAACTTTTTTATTTATAGCTATTATTGTTATTATTATTATCATTAAAGAAAAAATTTAAAATATATTTATTTATTTGATTTTAATCATACCCCATTTAAACAAAACAACAATTCTTTTAGGGGTCGGTCCCAATAATTTATTAATACTATTGACATTAATATAGTGCAAGTCACTTAGTCCTACAACTTTTTATTGGTCATGTAGATTTTCAAATTCTCCAAAAATAGAAATGCAACACCCAAAATAAATCGTGTATTTGAAGCCAAGACCCTTCCTCTAGAAAATTACGATTTCATCTTGTTGATATGGAGGATTTGAGCTTCAAAGTTGCACAAGTTTACCAAATTTACTATGTTTAGCCCTAAAATAGACGTGTTACACAAAAAAGTTAATATTAAAAATAGACGAATTAAAACAAATAAAAATTTCTGATGTCATTGATGTCACAATTTTCTGAAAGCATCATATTTTAAGGATTTCAATTTGCTATCTTCTTCTAGACCAGCTAGAAAATCTCTTTGTACTGATTTATAACTCATTTCAGCTGGTAAGAATACAATTGATTGGGTTATTCTATTGATATTTCTTCCTGGACTTGGTAATCCATGAACTTCTGCATAATTTTCTAGAAAATTCTTTACTACTTCAGTAATATTTTATCAATCATCATTTTAGTTTTTCATTGAGGTATTCTTTTAATATTGCCATGAATTCTTGGCAGAAGACCATTGTTTATCAGATGATTTCTGATATTTTCAAAATAAGTTCTACCAATTCCTAACATATTGAGATAAGTTTCTTGACAAAGGAGTGTATTGTGATCCCAATGGTAGAAAGTTCTTTTATTAGATCTAGTTTTCTTTTTAAGGCATCTGCTAATCCACCATCCATTGCCTTAAGTTGGGTCATCAAAAATATGTCTTGTTCAGACTTGGAAAGAGCTTGAAAGGATTCTCTTAATTCTGAAAATTGTTCCTTGGGAATTCTTGAAGAGCAGCCACAGTTACATCCTTTTTCTAAAAAATCAATTGCTTTTTGATATTCATTAGAACCATTGTACTTATTATTACCTTTCATATATACCTATCCCTATATATGTTCACTTTGTAGGTTTTTATAATTGTTTTAAAATTGAAGAGAAGTATGAATAGAATTAAACTTAGATGAATAAGTAAAATAATTTTAAGTAAATGATTTAAAAAATATAATTGTTCGGTAACTTATAAAGAGAAATTAAAAAAAACTAGTCAATTGGCCCCATGAAAAATGATTATGGACTAGATTTAAATTCAACCTATTGTGATCTGGTGGTGATCATGAACCCGGTCACAGCAAATATGAACATATTTTATATTATTATTTAACAAACTATTATTAGCAATATATTCTTTATATATGTGTGTGTAAGGAAACCCTTTTCCTTACATCAAAATATAAGTAAAACCAAATTTAAATTGTTAATACTCAAATATGGGTTGCAAGTTACCCAGTTGTTTTTTTATTGATGTTGGAAAACAAAAAATTCATAATATATAATATTACAAAAATTAAATAAATAATAAATAATAATTATTAATATCTTATGAACTTTCTGGAAAGCTGCAGCACTTAATTAGTAACTCATCTCATAAAGAAAATGATATAAAGAATAATTATAAACAATATATAGAATACAAAGAATATAAAGAAAATAATACATAAGTTACACAAGATCAAATAAAAATAAAATTGTAACATTCTAAAAAATCTTTGTTAATGCTACAACCTGTTTCCCAAATTGAAGAAAAGGTAAGTTAACGAAATCAATTGTTACAATATATGTAAAAATTAATTAAAATCACTATATATTCTTCTCAAAATAAATAAAACATTACTTATCTTTATTGTTGTTTTTTAATCCTTTCCTTGTATGTGAATGCCTCCATCAAATATTCATGATAATCATGATTATTATGCAATACATTTGATATCATAATTGACATAACAAAAATTGTATTACCCAAGTAGTAATAATACCAAGGACATGCACAAATGAAACTCTTAATAATGCCTGTCTACCCAGATCTCTTGGTTCACAAAATAAATTATATTTCCTGATTATCAATTATAGTTCCTTATGAATAATAAATCTGATGTTAATTGCAGGTGTCAGATTTAATTAAAATTTTCACAAACATGCAACTTAGTGCTTTCACACACCCTCATAATTGTAGAATTTCTTCCACAAGTGAAGGCCACCCACGTGCTGAAAGGCTTTGAACAAAACCTTTCTTATCTTTTCCTCAGGCCAGGCTGACTGTTTCAATATGAGCATTGATTGCTGATGAGGATTGGCACTTGTGTGATGATTGCATTGTGTTATACCTCTCTAGAATAAAGTTTGTGTCTGCAACTGGTCCAAAATTCTGCAACTTGAGAGGTTGCAACCTGTGTTGCTGTTTTGGATTTTCCCTGAATTTAGAGTTTTGAGTCCTGGGTTACTGTTTTGTCAGTGGCACGTCTGCTCACTGACAACCCTACCCCCATTTAAATATCAAATTCAGTTGATCAAACAAAAATTTAGAGAAACAGAACATTTATGAAAATGATTAATTTATGCATAACATACCAAACAAAAACCTGAACCATTTTATTTTACAGCTTTCTCCTTGATGACAATGATCACAGTGACTATCACAATAGGATTGGGCAGAATCGAACTGCCACCTTTATATTTTGTAAGATACATGCTCTCATTGAGCTACACTCCTTTAACCTAGGGTGGGTTATATGGGCAAATGCCCCATTTAAAAAATAACAAATTCACATGGTCAAATAAAACTTAAAACAGAAAATTTATGGGAATGATTAATTTATAACATACCAAAAAAATCTGAACCATTTTATTTTACAGCTTTCCTCACAACATCAGAGCCCAAATGCATTACAGGCTGCCAACCCTGCTCTGAATTGCAACCTCCTGTGCTTGAAATGAGTTGCAGATTCTCTTAATATTCCTCCAGAGTTGCGACAGATCCATCCTTACCTTAAAGGTAGGATCGTTGCAGGCAAATTGTCAGCCTTTTCTGGACTGGTGCTGTGAGAAAAGATTAGTGAAAAGTGTCATTGACAATTGATGCAGTCTTGGTAAATTCCAGGCTGCGCCTCTTTCCCTGGAAATTTAACATCATCATATCATCAGGGGATCAAGTCAGATTAGCCTTGTAAACATGAGGAATGTGTGAGAATGGCTGTAAATGTTCAGGGTAGCATGTCCTAAATGTCTGTAAAATTTCCAATAATCAAACATCACATATTGAAATGTTTCACTTCCTTGTATCACCTTGACATTTTCATATTATTAATGTTAATAATATTAATACCAATTGTTTACCATCTTGATGAGAATCTTATAATTACCCTGCAAGATCTGTTCCACATTTTAATTTCAATAAGAAATATCAATGCAAATTAAAAAAAAAGTTAGAACCCAATCATGCTAAACAACATCACTCACATTTTGTCATCTAGCATAGTGGAAATTCTATTTTGATCAACATTTGCAATTGTCACATTTACATTTTAGTAGAAGATTTTCATGTTACATACATAAAATTCGTTTGAATTATAACTTTAAATTAAAGAGTTTTTTATGTATTTTTCTTTTTTGCATGATGTACAAACATGTATTCGAATTTATTTATTTAATTTTTCTTTTTTGCATGATGTATTCGAATTTATTTATTTAAATTTTGTGATCTTACATATCCTTTGATACATAATAGTAAAGCTTTATATTAATATAATACTTATTGAAGAAATAAAATATGCATACGAAGAAAGAAGCCCACAAAGGCATCCAAGGGTATAATCAAACCTCTTTTAAAAAAAGCAAAATTTGTCTCTGAATGAGTATATTATTGCTTAGCAATACTTTCAAATATTTAGATTCTATTTACTCACAGTAAAAGTTTTGAAATGTGTAAAAGTTTATTTGTATTTTCCTACTTTCTATCAAGCTTTGTACGTCCTTAACATTAATGTCAAAGACTTGGTATTTTCTGAATATAGGGTTGCATTATATTTTTTTTTTTTAATTGCAAGATAGTATTAGAAAACACAAGGAAAAATCAAAATGTAAAATTTTTTTTTTATTTTGATTTCTTATAAAGTTAATATATTTGCAATAATAATAAAATGTTATTTTTTAATTATATTACGAGTATATTATTGTCAAGAGCTGAGAATGACCTGATGTATTTTAATGATGGTGGCCGAAATTATCCAAAATAATTTCGCAGGAATTAGGAAATAGAAATTTTGTATTGTGATAAATAAAATGGACTCGTCGAAGTGCCATCCATAACATATGTCAGACATGTAACCTAGTCTCTCATTATTAATATTAATTTATTTATTTCTTATAATAATTTTTAAACCAAAATTGTCTAAATGCCTAAACTATAGGTTGGTTTTAACCACAAATGTATTTTACTCAGCTTTTTTTTTCTTTTCATTAAAATATAAATTTTATTGTATTCATTAAAACTAAAAATCTCAATTTGATTTCAAGTCAAGTTACAGAACGAACCAAATCAACGGACATTAATATCAATATATGTCCCTCATAAAATATTGGATAGAATGAGCAAAACGTATTTTTGATACATTAGAAAAATGTATTTTTGATTTTGCCTTTTCGTCAGAAATTTTCGAAAAAAGCTCTGTTTCTGGCAAAAATAATTTTGTGTAAAAAGACTATTGGTTGAACGTTTTTGCTTGAAATGCTCAAAAACACTCAAGCAAGCACGACTTGTGAATGAATAGTTTTTCGAGGTTCTTTGAAATGACCACCAAGTGGACAAGCCTCGCAACTAAGTGAAAATTGTTCCATACCAAAATTGATTTGTAACAAATTGGAAATCATCATGTCTCTATTTT